ATTTCATAAAATTTGGAAGATCGATATTAATTAATACATCAAATTTAATGTAATGTAACAGTGTGCGAGGTATCGAAATCAAATAATTCTACAATTCTGTTATTATACTTTTAAACTTTTTTTTTTCAGAAAAGTATCGTCAATTTTTTAGTAGAGAATCTTTGAATTTCTACTCTTCTCTAGCCAAAAAGTCATCGAGTGCAAAGGGTTAATCTTACAGCGACTGTCCGTTCGATTGTGTTATAAAATAACTCGTAAAGCACGTGTACTCGCATTTGAATTCTAACTGGTACGACATGTATCAACAAATAAATCGTTAGGTGCCGTTTGCAACGTAATTTATTATTAGCTTTTGTTTTCTTCGACCGAGGAACGATAAATTATTCGAAGATGCTGAGTCATGTTACCACATCTTAGAAAATAGTGTTTTACCAAAAATCTTCATATCAATTTGCTACCAATGATTTCAATATCGTAGACTGAATTACTTTATCCAAAGAGATATTTATTTTTGATATCTGTCTTGCAAAAGGTATTCATTTTTAAGAAAATCAGCTTACGAGTGTGACATCTGTGACAGGCTTATTCTTCTTTTTTAAGTTTTATTTTATTTTTTAATTTTCCGAGTTTAGTGTCGCATCGACAAACTTAGTTTTTAAATTTGGTGCTACAGTTTGGTCTCTTTTAAATATCGAAGGTTGTTTTCGACGTGTTCCTGCGATGTCAGAGTGCTATTTGGTAAAAGTCTATATTTGTGCCTTTTGTAATTCGTATCTTCTACATTCGTGAAGTATGTGGTTTGTCGATAACGGTTGTACGCAGTAATCGCAGACTGGTGGTATCGAATTCTTCAACGTGTATTCGCGAGTAACTTTTGAGTGTCCAACTCTCAGTCTTGCGATGACTATCCTGTCTTTCCGATCAGTGTTCTATCATTTGCTGATAGTATAGTTTAATAATTTAATATTTTAATAATCCTGATAACATACGAATATTTAAATACCCTCTCTAATGTCAGAAATCGTTACCAAATCGATTGCTTCGATGGAACCAACAAATTTATAGTATCCTCTGTTGACCTTGGATTAATTCTCCCCGTTGAAAGCACTCGAATAGCCTACTAAATATTTACCTTGGTTGAATACAGTGAATACTTTGGTCCCTCTTTGCGCTGGATTGTGTCATACAAAGAAAGGTCGTACCGCAAACTAGCGGGCTTAATAGAGTGTATTGAAGTACAAACGGTAGCATACATTGGAGGGCATGGCCGGTGGCTTCATTACCAGAACTTGTCATCGGGATACATTATTTTCATTTGCCTTTCCTTTATGTTTCAATGATTTTCATTTCACGGCTCGGCACCTCAATGGCGCCTTTCAGGCTCGCGTGCCTCCGCTTTCGACCCGCTTCATTTTCTCGCGACCGATGCCGACGGAATTTTACCAATGCCAACGGAATTTTACAGACTTGCTGGATATTTTCAACGAGACTTATCGAAATTCGATATCGTCTGCAACGCGGACCGAGTAGATCGGGCCAAGCTTTTGTTTGGGCCTTGGCTTTGTCAAAATCTGCGGCTTCGAGCCACGTTTCTCGTGTTATTCGCGACTATCGGTTTCTTCTACCCTGCTTCGCGTTGTTAACTAGGGTTTAAGGGACGTGCAGCAAATATTTGCGAGAAATATCTTTTCTCGATATTTGTAAACGTATTACGCGTTTTATATCTTGAGAAAATTGCGAAAGTTTGGATATTATGGCGCTGATAGTTTGTATGTTGCGTTAAGTTATTTTAGGAAATTGATGGAAGTTTTAATATAACGGTGTTAGAGTGTCTATTGTGTCCGGTGGATGGTCGATACACATTTCTAAAAGTCACGAACCGCTAAACTAGCCTTAAATCTCCCAATTTTCCAATATTCCAATATTCCAATATTCTATCTATAACGATAAGTTTATAACACGTGGATACACCATGCAAAAGAGCGTTCAGTGTCATATTCAGCGCATACTCCCATATACTTTTCTAGAAATAATTAACCGTTAGAAACTAGCCTTAACTCATCCAAATATTTTCCAATATTACCTAGAAAAATAAATTCGCGACACATAACCCAGTACGTGATTTTCCTCTGCATCTTTCGCATGGTCGACTGCCCTATTTTACCCAAAATTTCACCGCATTCGACGTATGGTTGCATTTTCAAAGTCGTCAAGTCGCGACAAATGCATATCGCCTTTAGTCTCGTCTCTCCATTGGTTCGCGGGAGACGAGAAACACGAGGCACACGACAGAACGGGTAGAGCTAGAGGACGCGGAGCCGGGACAAAGGGAAAAGGAAGATGGAAGGCCTGTAAAAATGTGCGCGAAACGAGGATCGAAGACGACGACGTCAGTGAGGATCGGCCGAAAGGTTTAACGGCGCTTGGTGACGCGCCAAAAAGATTTAAAAGGGAGCAAGACGGCGGCGCTAGTTTAGCATCGCGAAATTGGCATCAGTCACGTAGCTCGAATGAATTCGAGAATAGGATCGATTCAACGTTCAATCATTGCAACAAGCGCACCTGGAGAAAAACGATCGTACCTCGAGCGATTTGCTGCAGCCCTGTGTGTCCATTAGTCACGAACGTCACTCGCCTGAGGATCGTGTCCTTAAAAGGGACCTAATCTTCGCCGTGCTTATCTTTGGTTTCGCGTTCGCTCAGTCGTGTTTGCATTACACGCGACTTTGTCCATAAACGGGACTCAGTCCCTCGCTCTCTGCTCTTTGCTCTTCCTCTCTCTCTGCCTGGCAGGAATTCAAACGCGCCCGATATATTTGAAGCTTGGGCTATACTCGCGGGTAGACCCGGCGTTCAGCACAAGTTCGCGGATAATAAATAAATCGGGATTACTCGCTGCTACTCGGTGTAAACAGTTTTTAGTAGTTCGAAATTTTCCAGTGGTATGGGTGAATATTTTTCTTCTGGTAATACTAGATATTATAAATATAATTTAAGTAGCATTATTTTCAATTTATGTCATTTAAGTATTTATTTATTGTTGTAATTTGTCTATTTCTTTTCTTGCAATTTTTTCCGAATTCCATTTTGTTGCAATAACACATTCTTAATTTATTTTTTAAACAGAGGCAGAATTTTTATAATGATTATTTTATTTCTTAATCTTTTAGTTACTGCAATAATTTGTTTCTTAATTTTATAACTACTATGAGGAAGTTTTTAAAAAGAGAATGAGAATTTATTCCTGAAGATGTACAGTACGTTTAAATTATTTAACCAACAAATCAAGTCATTTATGTTATCATTTTCTATTTAATTCTCAAGAATCTGACCCCCATCTATTCTTAATCTTTTATTTCTTAAATACAAATAGAATTTCTAACCACAAAGATTCACTCTAATTTTTTAATTACACCGAGAAGGTCCTCAACGATGACAATGAAAATTTATTTTGCAAATGAAAATGCGCGATACTTCGGATTACGTTAAATCTAATTCAGTTGTACCTTATAGTGTATCATCATTTAGAATTAAAACTATTTAACCTATCTTTTTCTCTTTTTAATTATTTTTAAAGAACCCTTTGAGTACCCTTTCAACCTCTGTTTCAAATTTTCAAAAATTTGTCGAAGTATAAGTGAAGCTCGATAAGCGTTACACGAGCGGGCAGAAAGACGTGCGCGAAAAGCAGGGATAAGCAGTAAAATTTGATTACCGCGTTAATCTAAATATATCTCCGAAACAGGGCATAGGAAACCGTTAATTCGTCTTTCGTCTCCATAACGCGATCTCGAATCCGCTCGCGTGTATCGATAGTTCGTCTTTTATTCGCGATTCTGGCAAATCGAACAGCTTCAGTCGTCGTGAGCCAGGGGGTACGGGTTAGGGAGCGACCGACTGTCACAACCGCAAAACGTGAAGACACAAAATTTGGGTACTCATGTTCAGCACGTAAATGTTAACGACACAGCCACTGTATCGATGCAATCGTGTTTCCTGTTTCTGTGATTGGATCGGTGATAAGTCGAAGGATCATTAACGAAAAGGGACGACGAGAAGTGTAAAGATCTCACGTGTCGGGTATCGAGAAAATTCGCATAAATTGTCATCGTTAGAAATGACTTAAGGAAAACTCCTGAGCTAATGAAATACCTCGTGGTATTGGGTTAACGGTGTCTGCCCTGTTAATTATGGAAAGTAAGAATTCACGTGCACATACGTACATGGTTATTTACATATACTTAAGAGGTTGTAATAATAATTCTAAGTTTTAAGATAATGGTACTCAGTTTTGAAAGAGACTTGGCTGTTTGATGGGTGAATACAGGTTTAAACATCGATCCAAAATATTTTCTCTTTTCATTTGAGACTTTTTACAATTTAATCGCGCGTTTTCTTTTTATAGACAAAAATGTTTTAGCCACATACTTCGATAATATTTGGAATTTGATCGAGTTATAAGGAAGCAATTTAATCGTATAATGCGTTTGGTAATTTTGTTGATTATAGTTAAGAAAACAAGTGACAAAGAAGATTTGGATTTATGTGGATTTGGATTGGTAAATTATTGTTCCATTTTAGTCTTCTTCGAGATGAGATTGGCCTTAGATTTTTATTTCTCGTATTATTTGGAACTTGATGGTCGCTGCGTGACTTATCGGGGCAATTGAACGCTAAGTGACGGCCATTTTGGTTATTATACCGAGAGAGGGCCATGGACGATGCAGATAGCTTTAATTAAGCAAATCAGTCGTCCAGAAATTGAAATGAATCGATTGAGAGTTTGGTTTAATAATCTGAGTAAATCTTTATTTTTTCGCATAACGCTTTTAGTATTCCTTGTTATACGTTGTATTTACGTCTCTTTTTAGCTAATTTATGTGAATATTGATGGTACTTTGAGGATACATTTGATGATATAATTGACGATATCCTTTTTGTGGTATTTTAGAGGTATAATTTCGAGATTGGAGGATTAAAGTGTTCAATTTTTGCTTTAGGCGCGAATGCGAGATCGCCTGGGAAAACCTCCCCAACAGGAGTGATTGGAACAAGAGACGGTGCAGGAATTGGTAGAACAATGAAGGAATACGAAGATCAATTAGAAGCCCTTAAAAAGGAGAACTTCAACCTTAAATTACGCATCTATTTCCTCGAGGAGCGAATGGGAATTACGTCAGCAGATGAAAATGCGATAAAGAAGAATATCGAGTTAAAGGTTTCTATGTATTCTATGGTATTTCCTGTTAAATTCCCTCTATGCATTGCATCTTGTAAGAAATTTCCAAACTTTACTTCTGAAATGCGCAAATTTTTTAATTCATGTTTTCGTACCTGCGAAATTTTATTTAAAAATTTTTCAACCTTAGAAATTTCAGATTCAAGCGTGTGAATTTTTTAATTTAAACTTTTGAATATTTACATCTAAATTTTGGAATTTTCAATTTCCTTTGCCTTTCTATTTTCAATTTACGTGAGCTTAAATACCGAAACTTTCGAGCTTCAATTTTTATTTGTGAATTTTTAATTAAAAAATTCATTGACTTAAGTTATCGAATTCGCGGATCTTTATTTAAAAATTTTGCAATTTTAGAAGTTCTTATCTGAAATATTTTTTTAATTCATTCGAAACATTAATAGTTTAAATGTACCTCGAATCGTAATTAGCTTTTTCTATTTTATTTTCCATTTTTCCTCCATTGGTGAGATTTCGACGAATTCTTTTACTGCACTGTTAGGTGGAAATCGAATCACTGAGGAAGGAATTGGTTGAGAAACAGGAACTTCTCAGCCAAGCAGCCAAAGCGTTCGAATTAATCGAAGAACAGAAAGAAGCTTCTTCGCGAAATCAAGCTCAGTATCAACAGTCGCTTGAAAATGAACGAGAAAAGATCCGAAAGCTGGAAAAGGGTACGTAACGATATTCCTGGCTTCATTGCTGTAATTACAGAAACGCTACACATCTGTTTTATCAGCCAAGGATTAATCCTGGACTTCGGTGATTTTATTATTGATCTCTTGTCGAATTTATCCATGTAATTTGTTTAACAACACTTATGCCAGTGAGTACTTAATTTTGTAACTTTTACATTCTCGCATTAAATTAAAAATCGTGTTTTTTTCATAAATTGCTTCATCGTGAAAGGAATTTAGACATTTATATGTAGAAAAATTAACAATATCGCTAATCAATTAAATATTCTAACAAATTAAATACACTAATAAATTTCTAATGATAAATCTCGATAAATTTTCCTCGCTATACTTAACACAAATGGCTCACTAATAATAATTATTATAAAATTATCGGTATCTAATTCCTCGACTATAATCTACTGACACAAGGGTGTAATCGTATATATCCGATGTTGTACGTTATCCTACGCGTTTCTTCTTATAATATAACTCTAAAAGGCCTGTCTGCGAGCACGCAACACTACATCAGAATGTTTTGATAAAACATGCTTCGTGGCCATAACTAAGTCATTGCTCCACCGAATTCTTCCCTGGATTTATACACCCTTCGCTTTCCGATTTATCCCTGGTACGATGAAAATTTTGCGCTGCTCTCTGTTGTGACAGAATTAGCAGAGTATCAAGACAAAGTAACAGATGCAACCATCTACTATAAGGAAGCTTTCGGAATTACGCCGGAAAAGGCGCTGGAGAACGAGGAAAAACTACGTAAAATGGAGGAGCTTGTTGCATCTCTAGAAGCCGAGGTAAGATGACATAAGAGACAAAGTAATATTGTTAATAATATATATAAAAGAAATGATTTTTATACAAAATATTTTTCACATAGGACTTCTTTAAATGACACGCATATATATATAATTGTATATATAAAATATTTGATGTATTATATAAATTATTATAATTATTTTTATTATCGATGTATTTTTAATTTATATCATTATGGATACATTTATATAGATATTTTGAAAATTTGCTATATAATAAATAATATTATTATGCAGATAAGTGAATATTCTTCAAGGAAAGTTAAATAATTTTCCTCGCTCAAGTTTCATGACGTTGATCCCAAATGAATGTCACTGTTCACAACTATTGATAAGCAAATTCTCAGCTGCCCTACTTATGTTTGTCCTTTGTATCTATCCACGCCATTTCAACGCTATCTTTGTTCACTTCCTTCACAGCTACTACGAAAAGAATGCGTACTTGATAAGCGAGCTATCGTCGCTTGGAAAAAAGGGAGGAAAAAATTAATCAGTATGTTCCTGTTCGTGGCCGAGTACGCATCGTTAACATTTTTCACTGACGGAATACCGAATTAGTTTCTTGGGTGTTTCCGTGGCGGCAAATAATAGCAACTGCATTTGTTTCATTTTACGAGCCAAACAAAAATTACACGCATGTGAGGAATGTGGACGTCGTGTTTTAATTAAACGTTTGTTAAAAATATTTCTCTTTGGTACCCCGTGCTCTTTATCACCTTTTCACGTTGACTTACGATTTTTGAAAATTATTTTTCCTCCAAATCATAGCATCTTCTTTAATATCGAAATTTTTGTATCAATATTTCAGAGAAGAAGTTATAAAAACAATGAAACGTTTAAAAATACAAAATTAATAATTATTCGAAAGGAATATGTTTTTTTTACAAATTATAATTGCAAATTTTTTAGTAGTAGCTATCGTAGTCCTTGTTTAGAAAATACTGAAACACCTTTTTGCTGATTAATTATTAAAAAAAGATAAAAAATAAGAGACGATACTAAGCAATATATATACATAAAGGGCAATCCTTTTCTCATAATACCTATGAATCCAATTATTCTCGTTGCAATTTACCCTTTTCAATTTTAAAAATAAAAATACCGCGATAGACTAGTTTAAAAATGGAAAAAAAATGGTACATCGAGGCAAGCAAAAGATCAATTACAGAAAAGGGTAGTAACCATTTCACCCGACTGTGCCAGCAGCAATTTTCTTTTCAGTAGCACCTAGAACGCGAGCAATTGTAACATGAAATTATTCGCAACTCGACATAGGTGAAGCAGGTGACGAGCAGCTTGGACGAGGAACGCGTCTGGGCGCAAGAACTCGAGAGCGAACGGGATGAATTCAGAGAACGTTTAGAGGCTGAGACGCGTTTGAGAGAGAATTTGGACGCGGAGAGGCTGCAAGACATTGAGGCGCTACGGGAGAAAGTAAAAGAACTGGAGGAACATCTGCTGAAAAGGGACACTGTCGTTCAGCAGTGTAGAAACGAGCTACTCGAGAAAGAAAGAGTCATTAAGGAAAAAAATGCACAGCTGGATGAGAGGTGTCGGGTGTACGAGGAGCTGAACGCTGTTTCAGAGAAAAGGAAGAAGCAAGTCGATCAGCTAAGGGTGTCTATAAAAACCAGGGACGATGCCCTCACGGACCTGAACAACAAACATCGTGCCTTGCTGTCTCAGGTGATCTTAATTTTATTAAAAATCATCGAATTTCTATTTTATTTTTATTTGCATCTAGGACCATGCGTTCCTGCTAGCTCTTTGCATCTCTAACTCCTTCTCTTTTTCAGTCTCTATTATTTTAAGTATTTTATCCTAAATTTGCTTTAAAAGACAGTTGATCGATAAGAATCAATTTGGACCAATTTTTTTTTCTAATTATATTGATATGTTTAAGAATGTTTATGATTATGAATGTTAATGATTTTCTGCATGATGATATTGACACTGGACTGTAACACGCTTTGATGAATTTATATTATAGTTCGAGAATGGTTATGCTAAAAGATCACCCCCCACCAGTCCGTCAAGCATGAATCCAATCGAAGATCCTTTGCAGACGAGAATGGGACAAAAGATAAGCTGTGCCCAAGGGGTGACGAAGAGGGGAAACACTTGTCTCGATTGGGAACCAAATCGAGAAAGGTCAACGAGAGTGAAGTCGCCGGTGCATGCTCTGAGTGGAGAGGTCAGAGACGTGAGAGATTTGATCAAGGTTCGTAGATATTCTTCTATCTATTTCTTCTTATTAATAACAAGTCACCGATAATTATATCAGTTCTAAGAGTATCCTTATCAAACCCTGTTAACCTAAACGAAACGTGTCTGATTCAGGAACTAGAAGAAAAGGACAGCGAGTTGAAACGCCAAGAGGAAGGAAGAAAGCAATTGGTCCTGAAATTATGCAACATGCAGAAACACGCTGAAACGATGGATTACAAGTTGAAGAAGCTAGAAGGTGAACACGAGAAAGCCATCAAGACCATTCAAGGCTTCATGGAGAGACAGCAGCAATTGGAAAGCACAAAGCTGAGGAAGGAACAGAAGATCATGGAGTTGGAAATCGAGCTGAACAGGCTACGAGAGTACGAGAACATGAAGGTTGCAAGAGACGGACACAATCAGTTCGTTCGAAGAGACTTCAGCACAGACATGACGGATGATCCAGAGCGTGATCCCAGCAATCAGGTCGACATCATGATTTTTCGACTCTGCATGCTTGTCTCTACGTTTGTGAAGGATCATATAGTACTGAAAATTTGTTCCCTAGGCTTAAGACTGGGCGGTGTTGTCTCGAGATATTCCAATTCTTTCATAGGCATTTAATTGCATTAGAGAAGTTTCATGCGAATACGAAAACGAATTTGTATTTTTGGTAGATAGCCGGGACTGTACGAGCATTTGCAAATGTAGAGACAACGCTTGGAATTGCAAAGCATTCCGCTTATAACGAGGAAACCGAGTCACGGAATGGCTTAGTATTATCAAAACGTTTCTCTTTCTTTCAGAGATACTGAATTCACCTAACATCTTCTACTTCTACTTCTCCTTTTCTGCTTTATCGCCATCATCACTCTCACTGCATGACACTTATCGCTTTGGGGCACTGTTCGTTACTTTTCGATATCCTTACCGATGCACCGAAAATTGCGACCACAAGTTGCCCTCTGCGCTATTCAACATGTACGCATAAGAGATTTAAACATACGAATCACTCGACCGCGAGTTCTAGTGATTTTTAAACAACTTTCTTTTAAGTACATCACACGAGTTTAAAGTTGAATTCCTTCATTCACAGTATTCCTTCTCTTTTTCTTACACTTGTTCTACTTTTTTAATTTAGTACATTTCGCATATTTTATTAATTTTACTTTGAATTCGATATAAGTTGAAGAGTTTCTTTTCGTTTCTTTTTAGTCATTTTTGTTAGGAGGTAATTGATTATTGCTTTCTTGCGCATACATTTTTTGCACGAATTTGTAGTGTTAATGCATGGCATGTACAAAGGCTATTATACGATCAGTGATGCCTTTAATTTGTGTATGCGTATTGCTGTCGAGTCACAAGCAAATGAGATATTTGTATTTTACACGGTTATGTAAGTTGGAAGTATCAATTTTGTTTCTTTTTTTTTTTCTTTTTAATTACGTTGACAAGATTCAATGAATTTTTGTACAATTTTTTTATGTCATTCTAGTAATTAATTATTCCACGATACTACATCACGTTATTTTATCTCGCTATTTACATACTAACATATCTTCTGAAACCTAATCTAGCTAGTTGCATAATAGACTTACTTTCTCAAATGTGAAATAGAGCAAGAAGTTATCAAGACATTTGCATATTTTTAACAAAGTATCAATCTGTTGTCAAAGTTTCAACGAATAAATTAATTTCTCATTCTGCGTCTGTGAATTGTCTAATTGTCTAATTATAGTCGAAATTCCATACATTATTTAACGGATAGAAATTATGCAGACGATATTATTTATTTTTTTTGACTCATTGTGACAGTAATAATTTTCTTGAATTTAATATATTCTGAAAGATTCGGTATTTTCTCGATTCTGCTTCGAATCACATCTATGCCTGAATCTATATATAGTTTAATTAGGCTACAGTCCAAGGTTCCAGTTCCCCAAGGGGTTCCAAAATCCAAATTTACTTTCAAGATCATTCCTCTATTATTGTCCTCTCATATATACAAACTGCTATGTCACCAACTCAGTAACCAACGAAATTATCCAGAAATTACCTTAAAAAGAAAAAAGAAAAAATAGAAGCAAAGAAAGTACATTTCTAATCTCAGAATGCAATCAACCCTATGTACAATTTCCCCTTCAAAATACAACAAATCAAATCAAGCACAATCAACAGCAGGA